GAGCCCGAGGATTCGTTCGCGTTCCTCGCCAGCGAAGGTGGCCAGGAAAAGAAACGGGAGGGAGTGGAGGTTGCAGTTTGCAGGTTTGGTGCCGCATGGAACAACCCAACTCGGGACGTCACCTTCACTGTTCAATTACCATGCCCGCCGCCCGCTTGGGATTGCTTTGTCCGGTGGCGATGGCGTTGGGAGCAGCTTGTTGCTCTCTTGAGCCCGCCATTCTTGTTGTCGCTACTTCCGTTCGCAGATAGGCACTGGTGCAGGCTGTGGGCGTCATGTCGTGCTTTCGTGTCTTGGAGGGTGTCTTGGAGGCCACTAAAGTGACTCTGGAATGTGAGAGGAGACGTGAAACATATGGGGTGCGATAGTGAATGCAGTGTTCATTGCGGTACGTGCGTTTCAACGTGAGCGCACGTGGGACGCACGCGAAGCAAGGAGAAGATATTGCATGGACAGTGCACATCGACGTCCGAAACAGTTTGGTAACAGACATGAGGCAACCGTAGCGTGGCTTTCTCTATCTCTCTCTCTCTCTCTGTTTCCCTCCCGCGTCTCCTCGGTGTTCCTCCGCCTCCTTCGTGTGATTCCCTTCTCTCTCCTTGGGACGCGTGCCGCCAGCCTCCCCTTCCCATCCTCAGTCTGCCCCCCCCGCTCCCCAGTACCAGAGCCTGGGCACGCGTGCCGATTGCTTCCATTCGTTCGGGGCTCACGTCCTCCCCACCACCAAGACCGCCGCAGACGAACTCCAACATACCCCAGAGGCCTCGAATACTCCCAGCGAGGCCCCAAGAACGGCTACAGCCACGACTACAAGACACTTGTGCGCGCTTGGTTCTACGTTCTACGTGTGCGTTCTAGTTGACAGCCGCTTCGGAACACACGACATCTGCGAGTGGCCCGGAGTGGCCCAATAATTTACCTGGACTGGTCAATTGAATTTCAGTATGATCCAAATGTGGCTAAATATGGTTCGAGAAGCGGCCCAAGGCCGGGTGCAAATTCAACAAACCTCCCAGAGCACGCCACATGTCTAAAGACGTAAGTCGCCCCATGGGGCGCCCCAAGAGGCACCCAGGATGTTCCCAGGGTCCTCAGGAGAGAGGGGGGAGAAGGAGGTGAGTGGAGACGAGAGGGATGAAAAGGCTGGTTAAGCGAGGGAAGGGCTGGGAGTGGAGAAAGAGATACGCGCTGCCCCAGCAGAAGCAGCACTGGAACATGTAGGAGAAGGAGGGGCATGGGAGAGCGTGATATCTATATATAGAGAGAGAGAGAGAGAAAAAAAAAGAAGAGACTGATACTGATAGAACGACAGGATGGGGAGAGAGAGAGAGAGAGAGAGAGAGAAACCACAAATGGGGAGACACACGACATGCACGCTCACTCCCGCACACCGAGTGCCGACAAACTCTATCCGGCCGACGTAGCTACAAGCGCCCCGCTCGGCAGCTCGTCTGCCAGCCCGCGGCGCTCCTGGCGCGTGACCGATCGGGGGGCGCACGACAGACATCCGGGACGCGGCACGCCGCCACGGCGCAGCGCACCGTGCATCGAGCGCTCGCGTGGAGAGTCAGGATCAAGACCACGCCCGTGCGGTTTGGCATCGCTCGGACGTGTGCATTTTTCTTCGGCAAGAGCCATCGAGGAGCCTTTTGGGCCATCCAGCGAAAACGTACACGCACGAAAGTCGACACGTGCACGGGGAATGGACGTCTGAGCGATGCCAAGGTAGGGAACAGCGGTGAAGAACATCTCCCATGGCAGGCAACCCCTCCAGGGCAGGAAACTGGATGGCAATTTCCGGGTGAAGCGGGCGCCTTACAGACGCGCCTGGTGGGTGGCGCTGGCGGCGGCCGAAACGGAGGCCGCCAGCACGGTGGTGGAGGCTGCCGCTGTACGCTGGCCCTGACGGGCGGCGTAACAGGCGGCTTGTGTAGAAACGGGGCGTCGTTGGGCGGTGGCGAGGCGGTCGAACCGCACCTGGCATTGGTCCCCGGGGGCGGCCAGTGTGCGCACGGCTCGGGGGGCTCGGATGCCAGGACAGGGCGTTGTGCGGGTCACGGGCGGCCGCGGGGTTGTTGGGGGAGGCCGGGAGGCGGGCTTGGCGTGGCGGGGGCCCGCGCTGGGGGTCGACCGTAGGCTTCGCCACCGCCCTCCGTGGTTGAGACGACCTGGAGCGACGTGGGCCGCTGGCGCTGCCGTGGTGCGGCCTCGCCGAACCCGTCGGGGGGCCATCGTCGCTGCCCATGTTACCGCCCGCGCCGAGAAGGCCGTCGGCGTCGTGGGCCGGGAGGTCGCCGTCCCAGGCGGCAACAGGGCGTTACCTGGGGGGTCGGTCCACAGGGGAGGCCTGGAACTTGGGGCCAGCGTCGGGATTTCTTCCCGCGCGGTTGGCCTGTGCGCGGGGGGCGTAGCACCGGCGTTGGCGCCGTCGCGATGTGTCAGGCCATTTGCATTGGGTTGGCCCAGTCACCGTCTGGGTCGTCATCGGGCGACAGCGGTGGCGCCACAGCCTGTGGGTCGGGGCGCTGCCACGGTGGGGGAGCGGGCCTTTGCTTTAGAGATCGTGTTCCGTGAAGCCCGCCCGTCGGCGTGGAAGGGGCAGGCAGATGTACCGCTGGTCGCAGATGGCCGCAGCCACGTTGTGCAGGGTGACCGCAAGTTTGTGCCAAGCCTTGGCCGCCTCGACGACTTCGGCAAGCATCTTGGACTAAGGGCACTGGCGCAGGTGGCCCAGATCGCGCCAGGACTGGGGGATTCGCGCGAAGGCGCGTCTTTGTGGCGCCCACAGCATTTGCGCGACAGCGCCCACGAGGTCGTCGGCCCAGAGGACGCTGGCGCCCCAGGCATCGCGCATTGCGGAAGCGGGGCGAGGTCCAGGCGAGCCAGGCAACGGAGCTCTCGCGTTCCGCGATTGACGCGCGTGCCCTGGCGCACGCGCGGCGAGCGTCGGATCGAAGGAAAGCCGCGGTCGGCCCCGCAGGCGGAGGGCGGTCCGCGGCAACCCTCCGCCATTCACTGGGGGCATGATTGTCTTTTCTTGCGGCGCAGACACTGGTGACAAGAGACTGGGCCGCCCTGGCTTTGCCTTCCACTCCCGGGCGCGCGGGCGCCGAACCCGGGCCTCGAGGGCGCGGGCGCCAGCGGCGCCGGCCAGGCTGAGCTCGCGAAACTCGGCAGGGGGGCGCCGACGCAGGGCCCGACCAGCTTCGCTTTGGAGCGGGCGCAGAGGGGGGGCCCGCCAGGGAGAAGAGCCCAGATTTAGTCGAGTCTTGAATCGAGAGGTCGAGCTCGGCGACTGCAGGGGCAGTGGAATTGTTGCCGCCGACAAATGACCGGGGAACGACTCGGCGCTTCCCGCTGGTCAGCGCGCACATCTCCAGAGGTCACGAGCCGCCCTGAAGGCGGCCGCCGGCGCGAGCCAGGGGCGGCGATCACAATCCCGCCACGCAGATACACTGCGAACATTGGCCGAGAAAGTTCGCCGCGCCGCCGCGACCTCCGCGGGGCATCCCGCGCGGGCGGCGAGCTCGAGGCAGACGTCGGCGACGAGACGAAGTGCCCCTGCCTGTCGGGGCCGCCCCTGCCAAGGGGGGGGCAGCGCGGCGGGCGCCGAAGACCTGGTAGACCAGCGATGCGCTGAGGTCACCGATGGCGGCGCGCGGGGCTGCTCTGGGGCAGGTAGCAAGCGCCCACTGCTCGCGCTAATCTCGCGACGGCAACGCGCGCATCCTGACGGGCGCCGTGGACAGGAAGCGCCGGTCCGCGGGGGGCGCCCCCGTGCCTTCGCGCGCGCAGGGGCGCGCAAATGGAGCTCGGGGACGACTGCGCCTGCCCCCGCTGCGCGCGGGACTCGCGCGAAGAGCCGGCGAACGCCGTCAGGCAGGCCTTCGGACTCCTGCGCGGTCCGGCAGGCAGCGCGCCCCCCCCGCGGCTCGCTGGGCGGCCCGGGCCCCGGCGAAGCAGACGAAGACTTCGTCGTCGAGGGCGGCGACGTCGACGGCCCGGCACCTCGGCGAAGCTTTTCGCGGCGCACTCACGGCGGAAGACGGCCCTGGCGGGGGCGGGCTCGACCGGGCGACCGCGCGCGCGCGACGGTGCTTGGCCGGGATGGGCCCGCGCGCGTTGATCAGGGGGCGCGTCGTGGCCCGTGGCTTTCGGACCAAAAGAAAGGCATTGGGCTCCAGCCAGGCCGACCGGCATGGCGCGGTCGGGCCCGTTGGTCTCGAAGCCACTTACGACCGAGCTAGTTTCCGCGCGGAGGTCAACTGTGGTCTCGCCATCGCCGCCGCCGTCGGTCCACGGAGCCGCGGGGGGCGCTATGGCGCGGGGCGGTGCGCGGGCGGCTTCGGCGCGCGGCGCGCGCAGAGGACGGGCGGGCGAGGCGTCGGCGCCCCTGGCCCGCGCGGCCTCGGCTCGGACCCCGCCTCGATCGCGCGCGCGCCGCCGCCGTTCGCGCGCGCCCAGGCCTTTCCCGCCGTTGGCGCGGTCAGCGGTGTCGGCCTTGATGGGAGTGACAAAAATGACGAGCGCGGGCGCGCAAGGCGGGGCCGCGGGGCCCTCTTGCGCCGGTCTCTCCGGGACCACGGCGGGCCTCCGACGACCGGCGAGACGGCGGGCCGTTGGCCGCGCGAACGCCCGCTGCGCAGCAATTGCGGGGTGCGGATCGCGTTGGCCGCGCGCCAGGCAGACTTCCAAGGCCTCCAGGGCGGCGTCAACTCCGCGGAGCTGGCGGCGGAGCTCGCCGATCGCCCCGGCCCCGCGGGGGGCTTCGCCCGCCCCGGCGGGTGGCGCGCGGAATGGCGAGCGGCGAAGCCCTGCTCGAAGCGCGGCTCGCACTTGCGGATGGCGGGCGTCTGAACCGCGGGGGCGTCGGGCGGCGGTGGCCCGCGCGCCAACGATCGACGTTTTCCTTGGATGCAAGAGCCGCCTCGCTGGCGACGTCAAACGCCACGCGGCGTCGACGTCGCCCGCCTGTCGGGGGCGCCCGCGCGCTACAGGCGCGGCGGAGCAGCGGCGTTGGCTGGCGCGGGACAAGGC